GCATCTCCCTGAGTTGCTCAGGGCCTCACTGATGCTGAGGCTGGTGCGAACTTGCGATCCTCCTGCCTCAGCCTCCCGTGCCGCTGGGATGACAGGTGTGTGCCACCGCAACCTGCTCYKCGTGCTTTCTTTTAAAAAGCAATTTACCCCCAGCCCTTCCTGGCTCAAGTCCACAGGATGTCACATTCCTCAACAAGCAGCGTGTCACCTGCAGGAGAAATGCAGGCCTGAGGGTCGGTGAGGTCACAAGTTATCCTGGGGGGGGGGTGCCTTCTGTGACATTGACACTCACCGGCTTCTAGGACTCAGGGAGATTGGATGATCACTGGGAGCCAAGTCCCCCAACCACAAAACCCGGAAGAACAAGTACTGATTCGAACCCGACGGTGGGGGCCAGAGCGACCCAGAGTTCCCGGATGTCTCACCTGTCCTACAGCGAAACCTCGCTTCCAGGTGACAGGACGGTGGGGACTGGCGCAGTCCTGCTGTCAGTCCCAAGTCCAGAAGTGGAACCGGATGGAACTCTCTGGAACCTTCCCTGGGACCCTCCTCCCCCAGTAGAGCAGGAGGGCAAGGAGGGACCAGCCACTCTGTCCCCTGAGAGTGTCCCTTTTCCTATCCACCCCAACCTGAACCTTTTTCTGGTCCCAGGGACTGAACCCAGGATGCTGAATCCCAGAGCCCCGTCCCCAGCCCTTTCTGTATTTTATTTAGAGACAGGGTCTCGCTGAGTGGCTGAGGCTGGCCTCCAACTTGCGATCCTCCTGCCTCAGCCTCCCCAGCTGCTGGGATGACAGGTGCGCACCCCTGCACCCAGGACCCGAGTGGGCACAGGAGGCTGGTCTCCCCGGGGCCAGGATGTGGAGAGAGGAAAGAAGACAGGGCAGAGGCACCGTGGTTTGTTCTTGGTAAGTTTATTGGCATCACGTTCGTCTCTTGACAGAGGAACTCGGCCCACACCTAAGATGTCGACCTCTGGAGGGGAGAGGCTCTCTGGAAAAGCAGGCTACGACGACGCGGGGCGGGTCCTGGGAAGGGGCACAACTGCCGGGTTCCAACCAAGGGGACGGGTGGGCTCCTAGAGGGCGCCCGTGAAGGGAGACGGAGGGGAAGAGAAAGAGGAGAAGAAGATCTGCCGGTCTGAGGAGACCACAACCCTGAAAGGAGAGCCTTCTAGAACAAAGGTAGAATGGCTAGGAGGGCAGATCTGGGGGTTCTGCTTCCCTCTCAGGAGCCGGATGCTGATCTACGGGGGAGGGACAGAGCGGAAGAGCCAAAGAAGAAATAATAATAATAATACAAAAGAGAAGGGAAGCGACACTTGTCGTTTGCGATGACAGCCGTTTATCCATTGCACACTGCGGGGGCGAATCAACCTTTCGGGGAGGGGGGAGAGAATTCCGACACAGAAGGATCTRGAGCAGTTTTCCTCTGGAGAGATGAGGAGCTTATCTGGTTTTGGCTCGAGTCTTTGAGAAGAAAAGGCGTCCGTCCTCCTTGTCGCGGTCACTGTACACAACACTGTCGCTAAGCGGGGGTTCCCGGATTCGGGGCCTCTAGCGCTCTGCCATCCAGATGGGAGAAGGGGGGGTCCGACCCTCGGCCTTCGGGGACCTGGACACGTCATCCGGGCTCGGGTTCCACTGATTCCGCGCGCTGGGGTCTAACGGGTGGCATATATTAATGTCACTCTGGGGTCCTCTCCTGGGAAGCCTGACATAATGAGGGGACACTGTAGAAAGAGCTGATTAGTTCAAGGGACAGAGGCCAAGGCGGCGTATAAAAGGTGGCCTGGCCGGCTGGCCGGGGTATGGGGGGSCMRGGG